CATTAATTCCTTCTCATTTCTGCCTCTTGTATTTGCTTCTCATTCTTTTCCCTGTCATATTACTTTTTCGCTTTAAGATAATTCTCGATTTTATTTTTTTAACTCTAAAAAAATTAGATGCTTTATATAACTTTTAAGTTGCTACCATAGTACTGTTAATTTAACAGACTACCATAGTACTGTTAATTTAACAGACTGAACATAAAAATATTGTATCAGTATTGTAATACTGATTTATGTATGCGTTTGTGAGATCTTGTTCTAATCAGGTGTTTAGGCATTCAGATACATTTCTCAAGCTTAACTTGTGCAACACTTTCAATAATCATAATGTCTCTCATTTGTAGGGCATTTTACATATTTCTAATACTTCCATGTTTATTTTCTCTTCACATCTTTTCAAAACAAAGAGAGGATGTGTTGTTGCAATTCTTCAGATGGGAAAAGTTAATTGACTCAACTGTATCATGTAGTGTGTCTGTGAAGGAACCCAAATCTAGAAACAAATTCTTTTTTTTTTAACTCTTTGTTTTTTGTTTTTTTTTTTAAGATTTTATTTATTTATTTGACAGAGAAAGATTACAAGTAGGCAGAGAGGCAGGCAGAGAGAGAGAGGAGGAAGCAGGCTCCCTGACAAGCAGACAGCCCGATGCAGGACTCGATCCCACGACCCTGAGATCACGACCTGAGCTGAAGGCAGAGGCTTAATCCACGGAACCACCCAGGCACCCTGGAAACAAATTCTTAGACTTGAAGATTTTTACAATGGCCAGAAGCCTAGAACCAAGTATGTTTCCAATGTAGTCTGTCTGTTGAGAATCAATATACAACTCATATACATTGGTTTGAAGATATATAACCCACTAACGTGATTTATTCCCCAATGGAAGTCACTTAATGGGTTTTAAATTAATACGATTGATGTTGGGGTGCCTGGGTGACTCATTGGGTTAAGCCTCTGCCTTCAGCTCAGGTTATGGTCTCAGGGTCCTAGGATTGAGCCCTGCTTCATTCTCTCTGCTTAGCGGGAAGTCTGCTACCCCTCTCTTTGTGCCTGCCTCTCTGTCTACTTGTGATCTCTCTCCCTGTTAAATAAATAAATAAAATCTTTTTTAAAAATATGATTGTTGTTATTATTGTTATATAAATAATGCATGCTAATTATAAGGATTCAAAAAACACTAAAAGCTAAAAGCAGGAAGTAATAAATAGTGAAATTCACCACTCTAATACTCTGAGATAATCTCCATTAACATATTTTGACATAGCACATGGACATACACATTATATAACAATAAGTGAGATTTTTAAAAAAATTCTGCTTTAAAAATATCTTGATATCTTAAAAAAAAATGTGGCTTATTCTGCTTACTTTCTTTCTCCTATTTGGAAAAGGAAGTTGAGATCTTTCAACCAATTCCACCCTTCTAAATAACCAATATTGTCAGGTTGGTGAATGTCTTTCCATACCTTTTTCCCCCCGTACTTTTCTATATACTGTTCATGTAATTCTATAAGTGTAAAAATATATACAGTGATGTGTTTTTCCCCTTTGCTCTAGAGAATGAAATAATCATATAACTTAAAATACTCTGTATCTTGCTTTCTCATATTATAGAACTGCCTGTAAGTCAGCTCGTGTATTTGTAACTCATTCTTTTAAGAGCTCCTATATATATATTTTTAAACATGGAATACCTTCACAGGCATTTACTTCATTTCTGGGGTTTTTTTGGGGGGCGGGGGTTGGCCAACATAAACTATCATAATAAATATTTTTGAAATATATCTATTTTATATCTCTAAAGTGATTCTTTACAGTCATTTAGACTGAAAACACATTGTAAGTTATAACTACTGATTTTTCCTTACCTTTCTGCTGAATCTTTCTTTTAAGTCTTTGTTATTTCTATCGTGAGGAGAAGACATTTGTCTGAGAATCTCCTTCTTGCTAGGTGGAATTGAATCTCTGTCTTCACTCTCTAATTTAAACTTTCTCCAGTCATTTATTACTCCTTTGGGTCCTGGAATAAAAGAAAAAACAAATTGTTTCCCTCTTCATTTTCAAAACAACTATTTATACAATTGAATTTTGTATAAGTATCACCATTGGAATATATTTGTCATCCTCTGTATCAATTTAAAAAACCTTGCTTGGGCTAGAAATGCCTGACTTTCCTGCTCATAAAAATGTTTTCCCATGTTAATCTTGTTAGATAGGTTTTGGCTAAGAATTTCTCTGAAACATCTACATTAATGAAAATACAAATTATGTACTTTCAGCTATTGGCAAAATTTGGGGGTAAAGATATTAAAAAATTAGAATATGCAGGGGAATTAGAATTTTAGAAAAATAACACTTTTATTAAATAAGAAGGAAGCTTCAGCAATAATCTAGAATTGGCACCACACTATCAATAGGGACACTAGGATTATCAGGGAAACAAATTGAAGTGATATCAAGATCCAGAAAACAACAATAGCACATATGAAACAACCAGTGAGTGAAGACCTGACTTCAATTAACAGAACTAAAAAGGCTTTAAGAAAATTATTACATAATCACCCAATTCCTTTTAAGATTCTAAGAACCTTTTACAAAGGAGAGGAAGGGATTTGCAGATTTAGGAAAAATTAATTAATTCAAGGATCCAACTAGAATTCAGATGTTCAGTTGTCCTGGTAAATAATAAAATTGCTTGGAAGGTCAAAATTCTTGGAAATATGGAGTTTTAAATATCCTTCACTAAAGATTAACCATATCTATACCTTTAGTATTATATGTGTGGATGTATTCTCTTTCTTCCACATATTTCTTAATAATTTCTTAATTTATATTATATATATATATTTTTTTCTTTTTTTAAAATTTAATTTCTTTTCAGTGTAACAATTCATTGTTTATGCACCACACCCAGTGCTCCATGCAATACGTGCCCTCCAGGCTCCCAACCCCCCCACCCCTTCAAAACCCTCAGATTGTTTTTCAGAGTCCATAGTCTCTCATGGTTCATCTCCCCTTCCAATTTCCCTCAA